CCGTTCCATTTATTTTCTTATATAACAAAGTAAAACAGAGAACGCCCAATTAGCGTAGTGAAAACTGACAACTAGAAAAATTCCAACGTTCAACTCGTTCGAGCGAAAACAAAACAAAATAAACTCACGCTAAACTCGATCTAAGTTTTAATAATAGCTATTTTGGTTATAATTCTTCTTTTTTTTCCGTATTCTTGCATTCAAGCTTCACCGCATCGCATGATAGCTAAGTGCAATTAATGTTCTTGATATCTCTCTGTGTCAGCCCTTCGTGATTCCAACGTCTCGAATATCGTGCTGGTATCGCTGGCCTAAAATAATATTACGCCATCTTGTTAAGTTTTTCTTTAATTAAGTGTCAAGGTTCGTTTGCTAACTCATTCCACGTGGAAGTCCGTGTTATAAGTAATGCTAAGGAAACATTAGCGGGTATGTGACTGAGATGTTTAGAAATTTTTCTATGCAAATAAATATAGTGTATTATGTACATTCAATTAATGATGTTGTTTTGTGTTATAAATGAATCCTTTTAATATTGTATAGATTTTGTTTTGTTGATACTAAACGATTATCATTAGTAAACTAGTAACCTGTTTAATATGGAGCATTGAAAGGCTTTTCGTTTTTCTTTATTTTTTTTTGTGTAGCGTTAAACACGTCCATTGCCAAATGGGGCATCGAACGCTGACCTTGGATCAATTCCGGACAGTTTAAGTAATTGACTTTTTCAATGTAATTCCTTCTGATTTGTTTCTCTGTTACACCGATGTATTATTTATGTGTTGTTACCCAGCTTTTATCCTTTCCGTGTGCCGTTAACATATTTTATATAGTACGATTGAGATATTTATTCGCTATTTTACAAGTTCCGTAGGCAGTTTATCGAACGCCCGAACTAGTAATTTCAACGTTTTTAACCGATAAATAGTGACCCGAAATGTTGAATTGTTAGAAATCGACGATTTATTATGCTCCTATCATGCGATTGCGGCACCGGCCGGCATGCCATTTCGCCAAGTTTTTGTTAATGTATTGCGATGCCTCATTAGTTCGTGTCGGATTTGCATTTAGCTTTTCAAATGGATTTTATTTACTACACAACTTTGTGAAAATTCACCTTATCAAGAATTTCACTGTCAGTATTTTAGCTCATTGTCTAAATTCTTTATAAGTGTGCCATTGATATTTGTAATTCAATATGACTTGTTGGATAAACATTATGTATATTCATACTCTGATTTTCAATTGTTTTGTTAGAGTTTTATTCTGAATAATAAAAATAATAAAGAAGTTTTCGTGGCGTTTACTGAGCGACACACGCGTCACGCCGCCCGTGAAACCGGTTCCGATTTGATCCACAAAAAAATTATAAAACAATTCACAAATTTAAAAACTGCGACTCGAATTTTGGCAATTTTTTTATGAGGTTAGATAGTTTGATATAGTGATAAAGAAAATATACGAATCATTTTAATTTTCTAATTAAAAGAGGAACAAAACCTATTTTTTTTTTATAAAATCGTTATGCTTCGCTATTATGATTTACTTTATTTCAATATGTTTCTTGAATATTGATTCTTAAATTAACAGAGGTGAAGTCTGTTTTGCAGATTTTGTTTGTATAATTTTTTATCATATTTTAGTGTTGAATTTTTTATAAAAAGACCACTAATACCATTTGTCCATCATGTGTCAACGCTTCTGTTCTCCCTGGAGTAGGTTTGAAATATTTTTGGAAAAAAACCATTTGCTTTGAGCCTCTTATATCTGTACGGAACTCTGTAAACCGCTAGAATCATTTTAATCTGTAACCAGCGACCGGCCGCCATAAAGCGACATCCCCCGACGATTTGTCAAGAAAACGAGCGCTCAGATTTTTGTGTAATTTTCCGCTAATACTTTATGAGAGTAGTTTTTTAAGTTCAAACTTTACGACGCCGAATGTAATCACCGACTTTTATTTATGACATATTTTTTTTGCTGAATTATTGTAAATGTTACTATAAAATAGCTCGGTCATTTCACTTCGTCTATTTTGATTTCAATTAATTTTTATCTGAATCAAAAGCAATTCAATATATTTCCGTGCATTGCTTCGTATTGTTTAGACAACTAAGTAACAAGTCGCCACCACAGCCGATAAAACGTCACTCTCACTAACGCATTGCTGTTCTCAACACTAAAAATCGCAACTAACATCTTGATTTATTTGTCCAATACGCGATTTATTAGTCGAGAACTCATGAATCGGACGTTTTTGTGACATGAAACTCGATCGTGGCAGCGACGGAAATATTGCAAGCGTGTTTTATGGGCCGTATGAATAAAAGCTGAATTTAATGATTTTGATGGTAGGCTCTGATTACTTTTATTGTACCCGGCATTTGTTTTCCAAATGTTATTCCAGTCATTTATTGTCATAAAACAATTAGTTTATTCTATGACCTGATAGTGGATTCTTTTATCGCAAGTCAATTATTATATGAACATAAATTTTTGTTTATAATTTACAGCGTGCGATAACTGTTAAGCGTTCGCAATTTACTCCGTGATACAATTACTTAGAGGTAATTGCATCTTTAGCGCCAATTAATCGGTACATGTCATTTAATTTACACTCGATATCCACGGTAATAGAGTTACAAATCGAGTGATAACAAATTCTTTGGCACCGAACAACTTTAATTTAGTTTGTTGCACATAGGATTACCGAAGTTGCGCCTTCCCATATTAATTGTATGATATTAGTATTACGCTATGGAACACGATAATCTAATCTAACTTTTGAGTTTAATGCTATAACGGATAATATTTTGTACTACAAGCATATAAAAGAGCTTCGATTAATGTATGTTACGTATTTTGTCAAAGACCCGTTGAGACTTAAAGTCTCAAACTGTGCTATAATGTGTTCTTACTAATTAATTATTATTATTTTGGGACAATAATATTTGGTACAATAATAATGTAGACATCCAATTTTACATTTTCAAAATTTTAATATTATTTCCAGGAATCTCTATTTATATATTTCTGGTTGTATTGTTGATATTTTCAAATATTAAATTTTTCCGTGGGCCAAATTGTAATAATAAGACAACTTAAAGAATATCTCGATATATAATGTATAAATTATAACTAAAGTATAAATTATAAATTGTAACTGAAGTACTAAGTAAAATTAACTTAGGTTGCATATAAAACATATTTCCATATCCGTGTATAGTAAATTTTGACGAACGCTCGAACTTAATCTTGAATTAAAACGGAAGTTTTTATTCGAGTCTTAATTTTTATAACAGCGAAATGACGTTAATATTTATATTCAGGTCCATTGAAGTCCGTTGTATGCATCGTAAAATAAAGGTGGGAATTTATCGTTGCACTCTACAGTTATTAAGTTATTTAGACCATAAACTGACCTGTTATGCTGTGGGTCGTAAATGGTTTATCTTATAAAGGTTCCTATTAATACCGTACAATTAGAGAACCGACTTTGGTTTTATCGTGATGACAATTAGCGTTTATTGTTCTGTTGTTTGAGTTTAAAATTAAACGGTCTATTTATGATGGAAGCAATTATTTTATATCAATGTTTGTTTTATTAAATATAAACCATTCAAAAGTCACGAATGGATGATTTTATTTCGGTTTTACTTTATCAAAATAAACGCAGATTTTGTCCAGCGAAAACTTGTCAAGTTTAGGGTATTTTTATCTATTGATATTTCGTAAATAACTCATCATAATTTGGAGTTTCTCCACACATACCATAGAAGTCTTTTTACTTCATGTTCTTAAAATTAATTCTATGAACATAAAAACGCATATGACATCGGGTACCGCTCGCCTGTTTTGCGAACAGCCAAGCTTTGTTGAATCAGATTATCTGCTCATCACTCAATGCTTTGATTCACTCACCATTAATCCACACCACACACACCGTACACTCACACAATCACTAATTACTCGTAATAATAGCCACCCTTTCTGCTCCATTTGATAATTACATTACCACATCAATATGTAAAAGAATACAGTTATATATTATATTTTATCATAGTTACCGTACATATATTTAGAATGTCACTAATATTTAGTACGTGTATTATAAATGTAAATGTATCTATATATTCATGTATGATTATTTATTACTACCATATGTATAATAATTTCTATTCATGTTTAATTTTGTGGGCTATTGAATAAAAATCTTTATTAATTATCGTAAACGAAAAAAAACATCCAATTATAAAATGACCAAAAAAAAAATGTAAATGTACGTGGAATTTTGATTCGAATATGAGTCGGATGTCCGGTGATTTGTTTATCTTATCGCTTCGTAATAACAGTTAATCGATAAATCTCGGAAATTGTAACGAGCCGTACTCGAACCGGCTAGACTTTCGATTTATCGTATAATTATGAAAGCAAAAAACGATTTTACGATCACGCCTACCTTCCATCAGCATTCTCATATATACTATTGTTTATTTTTAAATTTGATCAATTAAGAATTTCATAAATCGCCTCGATATAACCTTAATATTTTATAACGGGCTCTGCTCCGAATGATTTGATTAAATGTGGAGCTTCAACTGATACTTGCCAAATCTGCTGCCAAATCCATTCCCATGTAATCCGTCCATCCATAAGTTGTTACGATTTGAGAATGAATGATGAATTCAATCAAACCCCGGCTTGTAAAAATGTATCCGCTAACACAATTATTTATTTTATAGGAAATGAAAGTGGCTTGAAATATGATTTGTTTTTTTTTTTAACATTTATTATAAGTGTTTCCTTTTAATTCTGATTTTAGTTCTAGATTTTCGGTCTGTAATAAAATGGTAAAACCTTAGTTATGAATCTATATAAAAATGACTGATTGCAGGGTGCGGTAGAGCAATTAATTCCCTTTGTAATTACATTTTCAATTACCCCAATTTTAGGCTTTTGATGTGTATGTAAATTAATATTTTATTTTCGTTTTGTTTCAGACCGAAAAGTGGGTCTATGCTTCTGTACAGCAGAAAAAAAGTCCGTTACCGACGTGATGGATACTGTTGGAAGAAGCGGAAAGACGGAAAGACCACCCGAGAAGACCATATGAAGCTTAAAGTGCAAGGAACTGAGGTTAGTTCTATAAGATTTTATGACTTTAATTGTTCTAAAACCGTCGGCTAATATTGTTCAAAACTATTAAATTATAACAAATTTATTAAAACAGCATTATTTTATTTGATACTAGCTGACCCGGCAGACTTCGTACTGCTTCAATCAAGAAATAAATTATTTCTTAATTATTTTTTTGGAGTTTACCTTTAAGCCATAAATCTCCGTGTTCTAAAGTGCTATAGAATGATTGACATATTAGTTGTCAAATCTAATGTCAAAAACCCGTTTGTATGGGAAATAAAAAAGCGCTGTTTTTAGGGTTTTCCCGGAAATTATTTTTTTTTCCACTTTTTATACCTTCCCTGAACCTCCACAAACATTTCAAGACTACGATAAGATAAATCCGTTCAGCCGTTCTCGAGTTTTAGCGAGACTAAGGAACAGCAATCCATTTTTATATATATAGATAGATTGCTAATGTTTTTATAGGCAAAACATTCATCATTATAATGATTAACATTAGTTTGAGTATATTTTTAACGTTTAAGTTTGAAAAATTCACATGATTCATGACTCCATTTTCATATAAAAACCATCTTTACTTTTTCAACTGCCAATGAAATTTTAATAATGTAAAATTATTAAATGTGAAATAGATGACTGTAGACAAAACAAACATGACGTGTTTGTTGAGTTCAGCGAACGCCTTTTTATCTTTTAGCATATTTGATGTGTTGTATGTGAAAGTTATACAGAATATCCTTTTAGCCACCCACGTGTCAGTTACATGATATTTGTCTTCTTGCTCTTACGGTAAGAATGAATAATGTAAGACGTTCATATTAAATAAATCCATGACTGATTATCACGTTACTACAGTCGTTGTGTAATTTAACAAACATAAATTAAAATGCCATCAAATTATTCAATAATAATCGATCTTTTTATCTATCGTGTAAGTCATAGGAAAGTATTTATTTGTGGAAGTCAATTAATTTCCAGCGTCAGTGTATCTCATTTGAAGTATGACAGCTTCAGTGGCAGTGACGTCAGCAAACATAGCTAGAATGCAAGATTATGAGGAAATTTAACCTAGCAATGTTTGCCATACAATGTTGATTGAGTAGTGTTTCCTGACTGGTATTTCGGCACGCTATCTGCTAAACAATAGTTCGAACTAATGTTTTTGGCATTTGCTTTTTTTTTGGTACCACTATTTTTCTTTTCAACTTCATGTTCCAGTCGGTTCTTAATATTTAATAATTTATTATAATCTTTCGTTGCATGCTTGTTACACGTTTAAAGTCATCGTATTGGTCTCCCTAAACTTGACAATAAATGTCTTTGGGAATTATTAGATGTCCTTATTACATTCATGTCACATCCATTTTAAGATGAATGTCAAAATGTGATCAAATATAGTGGAGAAGAGAAAACAAAATTCCATTAACAGCTCATTCAAATAAACAAACAGCTGACCGGTGCCTTTCGAAACGGTTTGATGGATAAGCAAATGAATCTACCAATTAACTACGTGATGGGAACCACTAATTGGAGTCGATCACGTGGTTTGTATATTCTTCTGTGGATCTCCAATATTGAATTCATTATTTTGGATGAGTGACACTCAAATGTTAATGAATTTGAGGACGCGTGCCCAATGTGAATCTCATTTTGCAAGCTTTATATTGTCGAGTAAGTTATTATTATAAAATTGCGCTTATCCGTTGATTTAATGGCAGCGAAGGTCAACTCGCAAAATACATTTGTAGTACAAAAAAAAGAAAACTAAAAGATTAAACTCAAATCAAATAAAATACTTATTTTCGCTAGAGTCGTGAGTGTTGCGTATTGTATTAAATACTATGTTTTGATTATACTACATCTTGACCTAGTGAAGTGTCGGAACAAAGCGCCATACTAAATTACACTTAAAATCCGTTTTAAAAAACCCAAAATAGGGTACAACAATTAAGAATAATGGTAAATAACGCGTGTTATTTTGTGTAATTACGTTAAACTGTGTGCTTAATCCGTAGCACAGTTGAACACAAATTCACATACTGGCTAGCATCAGCACGCTAGTGTTTCGTACTTAGTTTGGAATTATGCCAATTATGGAAAGGTGGACCGCGACCTTCTTTGCTATCACTAGCTTTTTTTGTTACAGTTTTTGTCGAAACACGAAGTCGGACTAATTTATTATCAAAACTTTTAGACTTAACATTTAGTTTGTTCTGTGGAATAATGTTGATAATTAGCCAGTTGGAATCTAATTTAAGACTTTATACAATGCGGGCAGGCACAAATGTGGCATAAATACAAAGGTCCCAAGAAGCGATAACAGTCCAAAGCAGTGCGGGAATAGCAAAACAAAGACATTTCACTCTACCTCATGTTACAGTATACTGTGTACCTGAAGTTCTAACAGAATAGATACCGCCGCTGTGATATAAACACTCGTTGTCTCAGATAGTTTGAGATGTAGGAATTGCTTTTACAATCTTAGTCCACAACACAGAGCAGATATAAGGCAGAGTACATACATTTATAATACCTTTATGACGTGAAAGATAATTTTTTTTCCTAATGAGTATGATAATTTTTTAAATTAAATAATATTGTATTTCATTTGCTCTTTCCAAATTTTAATGACATCTTTTTTTTAATATCTTCGTATATATATATAAATTCAAGATGAAATTCTAAGTTCGTATATAACATATAAAAGTAGCTTTTGTCGTATGTTTCCCTCTATGTCGATATTATTTGTTTCTGTTTGTATTTAATAAAATATTTCCAAAGAAACTTAATTATAAGGTGTTACTTACAACCACTAATTGCAATACCCAAGCATCACATGCAATACGTAAATTACAGACTAACCATTTCATCTTAAATTCTTGGAAAAATTGTTTCCATATTTTATAAGAATCAAGTGGTATTCATAATACAACAAATCGGTCGTAATTACTGTAGCATGTATTAATTAAATGTACAACTCTCTAGGCTTAGTTATAATTAGGATATTGTAATAGTATGTTGTTCATTAATCAAAAGTGATATTGTCTCACAGCAGTATCATACATGTTAACAATTTACTCATGAATAAATATTAAATATTTGTACTGACATTATATATAGGATTTTGAATAAAATCCCATCGATTCGAGGCAGACATCATTATGAGATAAAATGGCCGTCTGCTTCGGACTGCGCTTGAATGCCGGGACTCTAAAATATGCCCAATAAAATGCATGTTAAGCCATTATTCACTCGTTTATCCAAACACGAAGATTCGCTTATAATATTTCTTGTCATTAGCACGTAATGAGTTCGAATTGTTATGTGATATAATGTTTCAGTTAACATTAACGAGGCATTGAAATTTTATTACAAAACAGAAACATGAATTGAGAACATCTTATCTATTTCTTGTAAAAGTAAATAACATTCAGTAAAGTTTTAAAATAAATAGAAAAGATCCTCTTATTTTTAAAAGACTTAACAACTTACCTTCAAAGGTTCTTATTCCTATTAACGGAAATATATTTAGTCCGGCGCCCTCAGCGCTCAACTTTTAACGAAGGCACTTCATATCACGTGGGACTGTTAAATAATTTTGTGAACTCTACTCTATGCCGTAATTAATTTCTGTTATTAAAAAGATATACTATTAGTTGATACAGCTTTTCTTAGTGAAGTGAAGTAATTTATTTATATTTATTCTTACTATTGTTATCTGAATAGAAATTTATAATGTCCCATAATATTCCTTTGTTTAAGTTAAGCTGTAATCTAGTATTAAGATTGAAATATGATACAAGTTTAACTTCTTATAGAAACTTTGCTAAGACATTATCGGTGAACCGCTTTGGTCGAAGAAACTGTTAAAACATATAGAATTTAAGTGGGACATTATGAAAACTTGGATTTTCAGCATTGATGGCCTTTAATGTTTGAATGAAATGGTGTGAAAGACTTCGTATAAAGTTTTACCGCCTTTCTCGATTTCTTTACCACTGTGTCAGTAAATTCGATAATTATTTTTAACATCAAAGCATAAATTTTTTTAGACAAAAGTGCTTAACAACGTATACGCATTTCATTTTAATTTTATGTTAGAACTGAATGCTTAGGGTTGTGTTGAATTTACAAGTACTTCACGCATAAGTCTCCTTGAATAGAACTAACTCCAAGTCGAGTGGTAAACTCGTTCGTAATCATTGGGGGATGTGATTGAATTTTACGGAAACCTTCGAATATTTTTACATAAACTACCAGCGAAACCAATATATCACGCATCGTGATTTTCAAAAGTTTTTTTTTTAGAAAAATATAATTGAACCCCTTGTATTCTGGTTACCGATCAATCATAGTTCTATTAAATAAACAACTTCAAGTCACTTCAAAGTCTACGTAGAACCTAACATGGGAATAATGTAAATCATATCTACTATGAGCGTCACCATAATCAGAAACACAAAACAAGCTAAGCGTGATTCTGTCACTATCACGGCTGATTTGGCGAGCGATAGCGCTTACATAAGCAAGGTAAGCTGGCGCTGCGCCAGAGTTAACAGCTATTGGTCTGAAAACAAATGCTTGGATCTACTTGACCGATTCTGACAATTGTTTGGGAGACACTGTATTAATTTGAGAACCGCTGTCATCTATACTGATGGACGTTCAGTGGCTGCCGGTTTGAATGGGCCGTCGGATAAATTAGTCAACATCGGCCGATATGAAATAGCAGCTATTAAGTTGGTTTAAGTATGGAGAAAACTCGACGGGTAGATATTATGTCTTTATTGATGGTAATCACTATAATAATAAGGAATAGTATTAAAAAGAAAATTAAATTTTAAGAAAAATTTAAATACATAAGCAATTCAAATAAATTCAACATTCCTAAACATAAACATAAAGTCCTACAAAAGTTCAATAGTCGATATCCAAATATTCCACAAGATCATTTCACTATGACGTTTCTCTCATTCTGATATTTGCAAAGATACTTCTTAGCTTTGAGTTAGAAGGTAGATAAACAGATTGGCGGACGGCCAACCCAGGGTACTTCCAGCGAGAAATGTCACACAAACTCAGAGTCAAATAACATTTTGCAGACTCCCTGAACAGGTGGACACGTTTCTGCTTTGCCGAAAGAAAATTCAGCCGGTCACAGGAATGTAGATGCCTTTTTAAAAGGCAGCGGATTTAAAAGTGAATTAGGTTCCACAACACATGATAACAATATGGACATTGATAAATGAAAGGATTTAAACGTTTTTTAAAACGAGGATTTTATGAAAAATGATGGCCTCGCCAAATTCCTGTTTCAATTTGTCTCACATTTTTATACTTTTACTGTTAATAGCTATGAAATACCCTAAGTGAGCTTTACTAAAGTTGTTTAATGGATTTAAATTTTAAACGCTCTTTAAAACTTACAGCTAAAAATCCCGAAACACTAACGAATATGTACAAAGATCTTGTTCCCCACAAAATAGAAGTACTACAGTTGATTGATCGAGATAAGAAAACATCCTATGATAAATTACTCCAACTATAGACCGACTGCTGAGCGTACGTGATATAAGGGAGGATGTGAGATTCCACTTCAAATTGAAATCTATTGATGAAATTGTCTGAGTGCTTTTTGTATAGACGGTATATAAATTGTAAATTATAAGTTTCGAACAGTCACTTGTTATTAATTACGTTGTGTTTTAGAATGTAACAATATATTTGTATTATATATTATTATTGTTATGTAACTTTATTTATTCGTATCAAGCTGTCTAGTTAAACCAGTCGACACTAGAGAGTGTATGTAGTTTGTTTAATTTTCTGATTTGCTGTTTTGTCATTGCATATATTACGGGCACACTATTTGTGCTGTTGTTTATGTTAATAAGACTGCCTTGTATTGCCAACTATTTTATTTTAGTTCTATGTTAAACTAATCATAAATTTTCATTCCTGTTTTAATACGAATTTATCATTTAAAATGTAAAAAATACACAAAGTATTTGTACTATATACTATAGTTTGAGGGCTATAATTTAATTTCTTATCATCAATTGAAAATTATTTTAATTCTGAAATTTCTGTTATTTGTTAAAAATAAGCGAACCAGTAAATCTTTTGAGAATTAATGACATATATTTTTTAATTCATTATCGTAAGGTTAAACATGATAATTATCAGGAAAGGGAACGCATTGTGCCGCCAGCGTCGCATTCCCTCAAGGTTTATCGAATATTTGTGGGTCAAAATATAATTGCAGATAAGTATATCAGATAATATATAGTGTATAGTTGTATGATGATTTACAAATTAAACTAACAGTGGCCTTTATTATAGTGGGGGATAGAGTATTAACAATCGTATAAGATTTCTTATAAAAACATTTTATTTATATTCATGCAATTCTGATATACTTACATTCGCTATATACAGATATGAGTGTCTAAAATCTTCAATTCCTTAAATCTATTTAATTATATAATTTCCATACGAGATCACTATCTTTTTCACGGTCTCAAGACCATATAAATATGATCAAATATCATTTGGCGACGAATAAATCTTATCTCATGTTTTTCTATAAACTTAAAATCGAACGTCGAACATCGGAATGACCCGAAAATTCAGTCTAAAAATCGTTATTGGGCTGATCATCAAAATACGACTCGTTCCGAGTTAGATCCATCCAATTGGCAGGTTAACGTTATACACATTCTATTGGATTGTCCAAATGAGGCAATTGTGTGCTTTTGTGGGACGGTCGTTCTAGATCGGCTGATACTCTGTACCTTACATTGGTCTATTCTGTAAATAGAATATGATTCTTAAGATACGAAAACTCAGTGAATAAATAACAGTTGGCTTGAATGCATACCAGGTTTTCTTTTATTTGTGTTGAGAAACTAACAAAAAGCTTTACGCAAGGCTTTAGATAAAATACTATTCATGTCAGGATTCCTGCATATATGTAGTTTCTGAAGCCTTTCTGCTCACCATTTTAAATGACTATAACTATCTGCTAACTAAACCACAGAAAGGCTCCGGTCGGATAAGCTCTGGAATTCTCCCATTTGTTGACAGAACTGTAATTTTAAATCCAATCTGTTGTTTTCTTAGTATATAATAAAGTATTTTATTGTAATTATATAAAAATAATCTGACATAATAAGATTATAATTCCGCAGAGGTGAAAGTTATGAACGTGATCTTCATTTATTTATTTAAGAAGGCATATATAATTTTTTTATTTGTATTAAGTAATTAGAGAGTTACGAGTATAACATAAACTTTGGTCTTCTTGTCATATTATATCACAATATTAGAATATATTAAACACTGCTTTCATTTAAGGAATCGTCCTCAAGTTTATACCATTGAATAAGAATATAATTATCCCAAAAGGACAATAAAATGTATATTTTAAAGTGTTATGAAGCCAACATTAAATTAAACCGATGTGAATGCCATGTAAACATGTCTATTCAATTATAGACGCTGGTGTCAACACGTGTTGAGAGCTCTCGACATTCGCTCGTATTACTGATGAATTATTTGATGAATGACTTGTAGTATATGTTAAGTTTACAAACCGGCCTACGGACCACTAACGGGTAATGAAACTAATATTTTTCGGATATAATAAGCGTGCTTTACTATTGTAAAAAAACTACATACTCCCGACGTTTTATATACAGCAACCGTGGTCACAAAGACGAACAAGTATTATTGTTTGATGTCACATTACATAAGTTATTAAAATTGTAATGCAACACGAAATCCGAAAAGCATTTTAATAATAATATTCCAATGATATTTCAAGCACGATTCCGTGCGACCGCAATTGACTGTCGGCAATTTAAAGTTTTTACACTCTAAGTGTTAGTTGGGTGAGGGCATCTAAAATAAATTTAAAATTGTAGTAGTGGTCAAAGTCGCCACGTGCTCCTGATACGTGGATGGTTGGTGTTGAATAAAAGATTCCGGGATGACCGCTGAGTGCGGGCTTGCTCTGCGTCACAGGAAATTATCATTAGCTACTTGTATTAGCTGAATTAAATGAGATATGTTTCTATTAATAACAACATGACGTTTGCTTTAAAAATGATTTTTACATTTTCAAACTCATAAAATTGTTGATATTAATATTTTCTTGCTTTATACTTTTGTGAGATGCTTGAATTAGGCTTAATTTATTCAAATTATAACCCGCTTAAGCCTATTGAATGGGCAACAGCTTACCCGGAGAGGCTTTCTAGGCAACGAAGTTAGTTGAAGTGCCAATAGTAGGTTACCCTTGTTTTAGGCCATTGTAAGCTTCTCTGTGCGAGTTTAACAAATTATCTAAGCTCGTTCGATTTAATGGAACACTATCCTCTACTAATTGTTCTCGTATATAATAATTATGATTGACAATATATCAATGGAAATATTATGTAAACAAACGATGTATTGTTTTTGATCATTAAAATATATGATTCATAAATAACCAATAAAACTCACACGTAGATAAACTTTGGTGAAAATTGCCAAAATATTTGTAACGAGCTGTGAAAGATTAAAGCAAATAAAACTGAACTTTTCCATTGAAATAACGCGATAAAAGTACACAGATGATTTAATAGCTACATTCGTGTATACAATTATTGTTCCCTGAACTATTTAATACACTTGCAAAGCTGCAATAATTTAATATTATACTATGTCATATTTATATTTTTTTTCCAGAATGATTTCTTTTTAAATATTTATTATTAATAGCTGATGCGTTTACTCATTATTTTATATGAATGTACTTGAATTTTCTAGATAAAGATTTAAAGATACATTATTTAATTTATGTGGAAAAAAGTACGGGGACGTTACAATTATTTATTTCTTTTTCAGTGCATCTACGGTTGTTATGTGCACTCGGCAATACTACCGACATTCCATCGGAGATGTTACTGGCTTTTGCAGGTAAGTTTATATCTTTCATTGTATAAAAATAAATATTATTTTCTCACTTCTATAGATATTATCCTTAGTTAGACAGTTTACAGTACACAATATTAATTATAAAGATGATATCACTCTGTTTGATGTAATATAGTTAGATCCGAGATTAAGAGATATATGTACATTCCTCAAGTATTTACCTTCTTGAAAAGAAACCTAAAAAAAATATTCCATAAAGTCAAATAACAATTCAAAACTGGTCAAAACTTTACAAACTATGTGATGGTTTTTACATATAAGAGTAACTTGATAGATTAATACCCTCTTCGTTTTGAAGTGGTTAAAGTCCTTTTACTGTGATGGTTTAGTAAAGTAAATATTATAAATTTATGAGAAAGTCTTATGATGACGCTAAAAAAATTCATACAATAATGAGTTTAATTATTCTTTGCCTGATTCTGATATATATCTATATTAGCATTATTACTGACGGAGTCGTTTATTGATGAAAAATCAATAGAAAGGTAAATATATATGATACCTTATTTCCACTCGAATGATTTTTAATGCCGGTCTTGGAATTTCTTTTGAAATATAAGACATACTCGCCGCTTAACAGTGTTCGTGTCCAATAATAACAAACCATTCAAGCTTACTAATATAAACTGAAATTTATAACAAAATGATATGTTAAAATTATGACTAAATATATATACCAAAACATTTTCCTTTCCCACTATGATACGTTCCGACAGGGTTTTGATATTATATCAGGATATAGAAAGAAACGCGAATCGAAGTTCCCGCATCAATATTTGAAATTTATTTTCATTCGGATCCTTGAAATATTAGTTGAATCTCAAACTTTTACCAATTTAATATTAGAGATCACCAATAACTTGGTATGATTACTGAAGTTTTAAATAATCCTTTATTTTTTTATTTCTATTAACTGATGTATAATATGATAAGATTTCGTTTTTTTGAGATTTGATTAACCGTGTGTATAGCAAAAATGAATTTTCCTTAATATAAACTTGCTTTATTTTAAATAAGAATTATAAGTAAACTATTAATTATAAAAAATGCATGAAATCATACGAATTTAGTCCCCTCAGCTATACTAGGATTTTTAAAGTATCTCAAAAGCCGCAACAGATTTCGGTTTACGCCAAAATGTGTGTATGTAATTGAATTTCTGATAGCACCGATGCATCCAACTGTAGCCAGTAACAGGTGTCAATACTTGTGACGTCATATAACATTTATATGTAACTGTACACGTTAAATATGTATGAGACTGTGAATATTTGTTGCTTATAAACGAATATTAGGTATTAGCAGTCGCTTCCAATGGAAGCGGACGATTATTGGCTGTTTCGGAATATTTGTGTATGTAAATCGCTGGATTACGTTCACCTACGTTACACGGGAATCGAATTATCACATTGTAATTTGAATTTAAATTTGTTTTAACTTCTTTATTATGCTCTACTTAAATGTCTGACTGTATTACTGACAAAATTATCTTGATATTTGATTATATGTAGTAGTCATGTTCAAAGTTTAATTAATAAATACGTTGGTTGTCCTAAATATGCATATTTGGTAGTCATAGATTTTGAACAAACAAAATTATACTGAGAAGCTTCTAATAAATATGTTATCTCTAAAAAAACCTGAGTTTTCAGTAACGCATTGAAATCTTGTTCATGTAACAGCCATAAGCAAGTTTTAATCTTTTAAATCATAAATCTAAGCGAACTTATGTCCCGCTGGATCTAAACTCCACTGGCTTCGGTTATGGACATAAAAACAATAAAGATCGAGGGTTGCTGATATCTCAATGTTAACGTTTTAAAGGTTTTTAACTTTAAATTATATTACCGGTTATATTCCAAACCAATACTAATATTATTTTTAATTGGTCATTAGATTTTGTTATGTTAAATTCAATTTAGAAAATAGTACAATAGATATGTTTTCATGAATTGAGAGTTTGACTCTAAGTAATAAATAATTAGAATTAAGCATCGTTGCGTGTGAATGTGGTAATATTTTTTTAGAGTGAAACAATGAAAGAAAATTAATATTATGTGCTCCTTTTATTTTTAACTCGTTTCCATACATCGAGTTCCTCCTGATTTTGTAATATTATATTCATACACTGCTAAGTGATAATTTTAATTAAGTGATAAAAAACCACGAAATTTGCAATAAAGCACACGTGCCCAGTAGCAACCCTGTCCAGCGGCCATTACATAAATAATTCCGCCATGTTTATTGCCGCCATTTTGAAGACAAATGGTTAGTTATTACGGCGCACTCCGTTTTACATTCGCCGTTCCCGTTGAAAATTAAAATATTGTGTATTACTTATTTTTCACTAACTGCGTGTGAGTCGATTTAGCGAGCGTCCTATATGTCGGGAGGCTTTATTCCTCCGAGAACTTTAGTTTTTAGTTTTTGCACAGCCTCGGATCCCCCGGGGTTTATGAGGTTGAATATTGCTCGTTATACCACATTTCGTTTTAATGAATGGGGTGCTTGTACTAAATCTTCGAGCATCACTTCACAATAGTGTTTATTTTAATATTTATTTATTGTTATGATCTCTGTTTATTATTCCTTAAAAAAATTAATGGCTCTGCTCACACGATTGTTTTTATTTCCGTTATTTATTGGCATTTTATTTAAATCTGTTTGGATGTGGGTAGCATATCACTTTAATGTTTTGTATTCTTTAATAAATAAGAAAAACAATCTAATAATTTATGACTTCAGCTTACTTGAACTTTCAATTTAAAACTTTGAATGTTCGTTATTTTAAATGGTCTGTTTCGAACAAATGTTTCATTTATTTTTTTTTTATTTTAATTCAGAATCCCGACATAGTACTGGTCCACTATCTCAACGTGCCGTACCCAGATGACAACAAGTTGGCTACCGTAGCCCCGAGCCTCGCGCTCTGGGCTGATAAAAAGGAATGGACTAAAGATGAACTCGTCAGTCAATTGAAGCCAATGTGTGAGTACATGTTTTAATATAATCTAATAAAAAAATCTTACTAAAAATATAGAACTACTTTATGATCAATTTTAAGTGGTAATCAAAAATAATATAAACAAACAATTAGAATTTTCCTTTTTTTCTAACGTTTGGATTGTATTATATCTAGAGTTTTATTCAAGTATTTTCAGAAGATTTTAACTGAAAGAGTATCAAATCTTAAAAATTCTATTGGATTTCACAAAATATTATTATACCTAAGTTTATAAAATTTATTTGTTTTAAGATATAACTGAAAAAGTATACAAAAAATGTAGTTGTAAAGATAATTATAAAGTTATAAATAACTTCAACGTACTCTTAAAACAATATTTCATGTAAAAAAGAAATATGTACAGATTTTAACTCATTCATATAAAGTGTTAATGTATACTTAATTAAGTCCCGCTCAGAAAAAAATATCAAAAAATAGTTGTCTGATGTTCATAAATGTAAAGCACTGAAAATTAAAAAGCAACAAGCAAACTTCGCCCTTTCATTGAATATTTATGAACAGGGTGGGTGATAAAATAATTACTCTATATTAATACTGATCTTAATTTATGTGGATCATTATGGCCATGAATTTGTAGGCGCTTAATGCTAATTACCCATACTTTTGCATTTTAAATGATGCTTAAATTATTATTCGTGGTTATTGAATTTTTTATTTTGTTTTCATTTTCAGTCTTCAGCGAAGATGAACCGGACGTTAATAGTGACTTGGAAATATCTGTAAGTATTCTTTAGAGTACATGTATGTGATTTTAATAATAAATTTATATGAACATGGAAATAAAAATTCAAATTTAGGGAAAAATGTTTCAGACGACGGAAACGGTGGAAGCTATTGTTGGTCAGTTGATGGAGAAGCAAAGAGCAGCGAGAGCGGCCGCTTTGGCTCGCCAACTTGAATGCGGCTGCCCAGACTCCACCTGCCAAGATTCAAGGACATGTGCTCATCCAATGCGGCGTATTCAAACAGCAAAGGCACCGGCTTCTGACCACCATGTATCTTCAACTACTGGCCCATCACCAAGACCGATGGCGCAACCACCACGACAGTATACTAGAGACCACAGAGCTACGACACAATCCTCACCATTACTGCTATCACTGGGTCAGATACAAGGCGGTGGAGGACTTCTCATATTAAATGGCACCAGCAATAGTTCTCAACAGCATTCATCTCTAGTATCACCTCTGTCAGTTACATCATTTGTATGTGAGGAACCTAGAGACAGGTATCGTCAGCAGTACAAACCGACATTCGTACTGAAAAGGGAAATACCGGACAGTCAACAAAACACATGTTTGACTAACACCGAATCAACGTTTGAAGTGGAGAGTCGTGTTGAAGAAAAAGTTGAAATTGAAACTTTTGATCGAAAAATAAAGATGGAACCTAGAAGTAGGAATAATATAATAGCTAGTGCACCAGCGACGCCGTCGCGTTATCCAGACTTGGTGGAACGGTTGGAAAGTAAAATTCATACAGACCATTGTGAAGATACGTTGGTTTTGCTTGGGACTGATGCACATTTGGAATCATCTAGTGGGTTTTTCGATGAAACGTTGGAGCTATCTCACGAGGATATACAGAAGACATTGTCAGCGAATATGCCAACATGTGAATTGAATCGAAGTGGAGTGAGGTCAACTGAAACCGCTAATGTGATGGTATCGGGAATAGATACGATGGACTTTATAGAGAGTTGTGAAGCTGTCGCTTCCCCTACGCATGTGGTTGATGATAATGTGTTTGTAAATTTAGATGCTTTTGATATGCTTGGTGACTTTCCGGAATTAGAGGTATTGGATCCGAGCACTATATCTACTAATCCCGGGGTATGTTTCTGTCCAAATAAATATTTTTTAAATGCTTTTAAGATTAATATTATATAAAAAATATTGTTTTTTCAGAATCTTTGCGGAAATTCTCCTCAAACGGAGGAAAATAACGATAAAATGCAGACGGATAGTCCAAGGGAAGGTGCACTTAGCATCACTGACTATTCTCCTGAATGGGCGTATCCTGAAGGTGGTGTCAAGGTGCTGGTAGCTGGGCCTTGGACGGAAACCTCGGATCAGTATACCATCCTTTTTGATAACTTTCCCGTACCTTCAATATTGGTGCAGAATGGTCTACTAAGATGTTATTGTCCAGGTTGGTAATATTTTATTTTGACCTGCTAACAACGAAAATATAACTGAATATAATCTGTATTAGATTACTTAATTAAGAATCATGAAAGTAATAAAATAAATGTATTCATTATTGTCTCCAAATGAGATAATTCGAAAAATTCTCCAAAATGTTAAGGAATTTGATGATTATTATTATTATTAATGGTATTTTTTTCAAATTACAGCCCACGAAGCCGGTTTGGCAGCATTGCAAGTGGCTCGAGCTGGTCGCGTAGTATCTGACACGGTGGTGTTTGAATATAAGGCAGGTCCAATGTTGGCGCCGTCTTCACCCGCTTCAGCGCCGCTGCCTTCTTTGGATCTTAGACGATTCTCGTTGTTGCAGCGTCTGCAGCGGCTGCACGGGCGTTTGCAACTGAAGACGGAACCAATGGATGATAATAACCAGGTAGATACTGAAAATTATAATCATTTATGAATTTCCTTTGAATAACTTGAATTTGTAAAAGACTAGGAAATAGATAAGTTCGGTTTCTAAGACCCAGTTTCACCAATCAATGTTTGTTTAATCTAAAGACTGCATTTACTAACCAACCTTCAAAATTATAAATGTCTGTTAAAATATTTACGTTCTTCTTCTTCATCTTCAGTTAGTGGCGTTTAATATTTACGTTCCACGATGACAAAATAACAATGAATTATTAAATGTCATGTTAAATGACCGACGATTAAATTATTCGTTCTTGTTATAAGACGACCAAATGGAAACTATAGCGATTAACACGACACATTTGCCACTATGCACCACTTTATACTTTGATCGTATATATCCTCAATACGTCACTTGTTAGGTAATGCGACCAAATTTTATATGTCGTTGGTTGGATACATTTGGCACACAAAAGCTTTCTTTTCAATTTACTAGGTGTAGCCTGTCAAAATCAAGTTGTCAATAAATTGTGTTATATATTATTTTATTATAAATATAAGCATAAATTGTGTTCAAATTATAAGAGATAAAAAGAAAATTTAATTTGCAATGTTATAAAAAAGCTGGAGGCAAAATCATCATAGGAAATTAAATTTTAATTCACTTTATTAACAAGTACTAGGAAATAGTCGAAACTGACAAAACAGATGACGTTACTATGGTTAAAAGAAATCAGGGCTGTGATTGGACGATTGAGTTTCGACAATGCATTAACAGTCATGTTAGCCAGTAGACGGAGCTACAGAGCAGGAATTAATATTAGTGGCTTGTTAAGACATTTAAACGGACATTTTTGCGTGGTGGGACGCTCGATGCATCTAACAGAGCATCAAACGCCTTAACACGATGTTACTTATTTAACAATGATTGGTGAAACTGAGTCTTAACATATGAAGTGCTGATTCATGTATAGCGCAACAAAAATTTTAATTTATAATTATGTCAAATTGATTTAATATTTATGTTCACATTTATTTATAAAAACTAATATTTTGACTCTAAATTATGAAGTATGTAAAAAAATTTTCTTAACATAAGATTGAAAATAATAATCGTATTTATTTTTTTCTTCTTCAATTTCAGATTGAAGATGTGCAGTTATATTCAAATCCAAAATTTGAGGATCGTCTCGTGGTTTTTTGCCAATTTTTGAGTAACCGGTCGTTTGGAAACTCCGAAGGGTTCACTACGGAGCCCGGTGAAGACAGTTCCACAATATTACATCTAGCAGCAGCTCTGGGTTATACGAAGCTGACTACGGCTTTGTTGAGGTGGAGGCAGGACGATAATAGCTTAGCCTTGGAGAAGGAAGTTAATTTGGGAGCTAGAGATAGCGACAATTGTACCCCCTTGGTGAGAGTATTTTACATTATTAAAAGCTACTTTGTCTTCAATTAAATCTAAATTACATGATAAATTTACTGTCTAAATATAAAACTGATAAAATCTGAATCCCATAAAAATCCCACATAATTTAAATTTTCTACATAATTTTTACATAATTTCTAAATGCGAATATTTAATTTCTTGGATTTAAATTTTAACGAACTCTGAATGATAAGAGTGCAATGAAATATTAATATCCGAGTCTTTTCAATTGTATAGACGACGATTCAATTTTTAGAGTATTTCGGGAGACCGAGGAAGGAGTCTTATAAGAGGTTTCAATTGTCCATTCTTCTTATTGACAGTTTTGATTAAAGCGTTTTAATCGTGTTTTCATTATAGATGGTAGCAAGCGCGCTCGGTCATTCAGACACGGCGTTAGTGTTGGCTCGTTGGGCTGCGGGGACGCGGCGGGAGGCCGGGGCCAGGGCTGCGGCTGCTGCAGCACGACGCGGAGGGCATAGCACCCTCGCAGCTGCCTTGGAGAGAATACAGGGGGACTGCGTGTTCAGACGACCGCTAAGGTCAGTATTGAGATTCAGAGCTTTTTGTACCTGATGCGATATTATCCGTATTTATATAGTAATATTAATTTTAATCCCTTTCATCTAATAGCTGACATAATTTTTTAAAATCTGTGACACGACAGTGGAATATTTCTATCTTTTACACTAGACCACAAAAAATTAAATACAAAAATAATGTAATATCTATTTATAATTACAGTTTATCACAAAAGAATAGAGCCGGCAGTTTGGAGAGTAATTTAGTGAAACGGCCCTCCATAGACAGCGGTATCAACATGGCTGATGCCTTCAGATCCAGTTCAGCTATAGACAAAACTGACACTAATTCCTCCAGGTATAGAGCAGTTTTTTCTTTGGCAGATGCTTTTGATGTTTATTGGAAGCATTTTTTTCATGTTGGTTAATTTAACTTAAAGGTGGGAACGAAGTATGTCGCTTCCACTGGACTCTGACACCGAGGACAGCTTCGGTGACATGAAACTCGGTCGCAGGATGGACCTAGCTCTATGTAAGTTGATATCCATTATTCAACATAATTTTTATAGAAAGTTAAATTTTCATTTGCAAACGATTATTTATTTTCATCGGCACGGCGCCTAACCTTGGGAGATCGAAATTTTATTATCCCAATATATAATGCGTACATTATATTAGTAAATCGACGTCGTTGGCCAGATCATTAAAATCAATTGTAATATGAATATAAAGTAATATATTATATATCAAAGCAATATATCCTGTAACTAAGCAACAGCAAACGCTGTATATAACATACGGGATATACGCTATACGATAGAGCTGAATCGACAGGCGTTGTACCAGGCGAGACGGCCCGCGCCAGCCCGACGGAAGGGCAGACATCGCACTCAGGTCAGTACTGAAACGGTATAGGCTGGTCTGGGCTGGTCTGGATAGGTCTGCTAACATAGGAAAATTGTTTTGGTCATGAACGTTTTAATTGGCATGTTACTAAGTCTCAATTGGCAATGGTATCCCTTAGACGATCAGTGAAACTGTTCTATACCATTTCAAGTCGCCCTCCGCTCGAGTTGTCTATCGATGTTGTAAGTGTTGTAGTTGCATGGCCACTCCGGCCTTTCCTCTGATACGTCGTCTTCCTGTCGCCAGTGTAGCAGTCGCTATGGTAGACCACTTGTAGATTCTTCTATATCTGTATCCCATCGAGCGGAGATGCCCTGGTGTTGTTAGTAGTTACATTAAGTTGAACCGATCAACGACAATTGTATTTGCATTCAATCGTTTGTTATATTAAATATATACAACAATTCGAGTTGTTCGGTTCGACTTATTCGATGTTGTCCATCGGTGTCGCTTTCAATGGTTCGTATTGGTCTATCCACTATCACTGAACCTCAGACACAACAGTATCGATATCTTCAAACAAATATGAACATTCAAACAACGTTGTAACAATACTTTTAACATCACCAAACGAGAACACTGCATGTACGCTATGACGCTTGCATGAAACGATATTTATGTAAAGGCTTTTTATGTGTAGTTAAATAAAGATTTGCTATATGACGAGGTGAGTGCTTTCACAGGTTTTATGATATGGCACAAAATTTTTATTATTTATATGTATATCGGTGTATTACGTGTGATGCATTCTCGAGCTGTTTTGTAGACGAAGCAGCATTTATCAAAATTTCATTGCATTATATTATTAATTGGCTATAATGTTAGCGCTAAATAAATTATCTCTTTATTAAGAAGAGGTTCCATTATTTAAAATATTTCAGGGGAGCAGGATGACCGCGTCTTCACGTTGGCTGAGCAGATTATAGCCGCTATGCCGGAGAGAATTAAGGTATACATCCGACAAAATTACCTTGTTTTTGGTGTAATTGTAATACTTTAGTCTATGATTTCAAGAAAAAACAATTTGTTATATAATCAGGATTATTATAAATCCTACATTTTTAATGCTTTCCTTTAATTATTGATGACAATTGTATAGAAAAAATGGGATCTATATCTGTTCTTCATGTTTGTCTTTATAGAACGAGGGTATTCTTTCGTGTGACCTGGACAGCGGCGCCGGCAGCGAGGATGTGCTGATGGTGCCGTTGTTGGATGACACTTCAACCTTCAGCAGCGAGTTCAGTTTTGAGTTTTGTGATAATACATACAGGTTTGTGGTTACTTGTACCCGTTTGTTGTCTCTACTTAGTTTAGCTAACGAATTCGCTCTTGGTGTTAGTATTTGTGATCGTATGTATGATTAATAAAATGAAGAAAATAAGTAGTACCATATTAGATTTCTGATGAAAGTTGAATATACATTTCTGGGTTATAGCTGTTTTCAAATGCGAAAAATTTGTTAATTAAATGAAGGAGGGAACCGAACTAAACATAAAAATGTATTATTGTCACGAATTATTTAATGAATTTACTTATATGAATTTATGGTTTTTATATATTTTCTGACAATTTTTTTTGGTTAAAGTACCTTTTTAATCGATAATGAGATCTGAGACTTTCGCGAGTATCCATTTAAATAAAACTATTTTTAGGATTACCATGCGTATTTTATTATTTTTTAAAAACTACATACTCCCGACGTTTCGTTTACTTTGCAGCAACCTTGATCACGGGCAGACGAGCTGTGGAATTAGTTTCGTTTTAGTAGATGTTTAAAATATCATACGTTGATAAAATGCCTAGGAAGTAATGATACCTTTACGCTGATATGCATCCAAATGATGTTTAAATCTAACTCAGAAGCGAAGAATGAAAATTTCCTCTGACTATTAAGATATTAAGATGGTAGAACACGGAAGGAAAGGCTAGATTTCTCTTTATACATTAATATTTATAACCCATTAGGGTTAAAAGGCATATTATCTCTTAGTCGAAGATCACTAGTTATGTAATAACGCTAAGACAAATGTTTCTAGTAACGAGGGCATAAAATTTAACACCAGAGCGGTAGTCCATACGACGAACTTGTATTATTCTTAAGTCTAATCTATTCTATTCTAAAAATAGTAATATTGGTCTCAAATTTCATAATATTCCCAAAATTTTATTTTACATTGGTAGGTGAAGCAAGACATCCATATTTCTATTACATTCTAAAACCAGTAAGACATTCCTCCCTATCCTAATGTAAGTACCTCGTTGATACATATATTCATATATGTTATCTGTTCTAGATACACTGGAGCATCTACTCCATCATCAGGCTCGGTGTCTCCAGGCTCCGCGTTGTCACCGCCGCCCTCCTCACCCCTCGCCCCCGCCTCTGCCACTCTACAAGAGTTCCTCAACACGACTCACTTTTCCAGCCTAACTCTCAACGGTCAGTTTAGAGTTACATATGTATATTAGTACTAGTGTTTGTAATGATATTTGTAACTGAGGATTTTTATAAGTATATACAGGTCGACTGGTGAATTACTATCAATATTTAAGGAGAATACTCGGTACATGATTCTCATTCGAATTATGTAAAAAAAAAATAGGTACTTAATTTTTGACCAAATTTCCGTATAAATAAATAAAGTGTGGACACGTTCCAAGTGTTCCAAGTGTGGACGCGTGCGGCGGCGTGCTGATACAACACCACGCCGCCGCACGCGTGTGTGTGTGTGTGTGTGTTTGTATACCTAATCTGTAGGGTGTTCACACGATGCGTAATTAATTACATAACTTTTAGTTAACTTTACTTAGAAGTTTATTAATATTTATGTTATATTAATTTTTATTTTGTTATATAAGATCGTCAAATATCACGTCCTCAAGTATCGATAGTAATTCACCAGTCACCCGGTATACATTACGATTAGGATTTTAAAAAATTGTTTGCTTATTACATTGGAAAGAATTAAAGGTTCCTGAGGTTTGTTTACGCGAAAGTATTGTAATTAATTTTGAACGTGTAATATAAGTTAAACGAGGAAACGACTCCGACGACTGTCATGTAGTATGCGGATAGTTGCGAAAGAAAATAATTCATCTTACTAAGTTTAATAAAAAAGTGTTCTTTTTTATGTAAAAACATACTAGTCATAACTGCTTTCCCGCCACAACAACACTAAAGTTATTTCACAATAGTTGGCGTTGTTGAGAAATACGAAGCCAATAACATTTCTGAACACTATTTATGAAAAAAAAAGAAGTTATTACAACCGTACGTCGGCAGTTTTAAGTGTAATCTAAAGTTTCAAAATGAAATAACATAATAACATTATATACTCTACAATTACATTGCAGTATATAAAATAACATTAATTGCTTTTTCTATATTTTTTGGATGGAGAAACAATTTTTATTACATAGAAATTATTATTTTTAAATGTATAGTCAAAATATGAATAAGAATAACACCACCCACTTAAAGAAATTAAATTCTACTAAATGCTCTCCTATCAACGTTTATACTTCATTTATTTTCGATTATATATTCTATTCTTCATATTATATTCTATTAGACCGGGAGCAACGTGAGTTATACTCGGCAGCGATCACAATCCAGAAGGCTTATCGTCAGTATCGAGGCAGACAGTTACAGCGCCGGGCTGCGGCCGCTGCTATCACTATACAGAACTGCTACCGACGGTACAAACAGGTAGGTGGCACCACCTGGCATCTGGAGTATATATAGTGTATAGTTACATTGTTATAATGACACAGTATACTTTACTGTAAACTGTTGGATTTATACCGTTTGGTTACTGTTGTTATATGGAAACCTTTTAAAAGTAATGTGATAGATCACTGATGTTACTGTGATAATGTATTTGAAATTATAAGACTTTTTGTCACAGTTGCAGATTACATTTGCAAAGTAGTAGAATTATATATGATTTAAATGCAATTAATGCCTTTGATTGTACTATAAAAAGTTCTAGAATGATCTATTGTATATTTATATATACTATATAACAATACTATACAACAGAAGTTAATCTTATAAACGCAAGAGGTTTGCTGTAGTTTAATTTAATAGATATTTAAATGAAGTCATTATCAAAATTATTATATATTTATTCTAGTCTTTGATCATTAATAACATTATTTAATTCTTTAATGTCGATTTAGTTCGCGTACTTGAAGCAAATGCATGCAGCGGCGACTGTTATTCAACGAGGATACCGCGGGTTGAGAGAACGGAGACTCAATAACACCAACTACGTCAAGTCAGTACAGTCTTTTATTATTATTAATAGTTGCATGAACCCTCATTATAGTTAGTATAAACATTGATACGTTGAAAGTACTATAAAGTACACTGATTAGATGTTAAAAAATACTTTACAAAGTTAAGAATGAAAAACGAGAGACTTATAGAATGACTCGGTGGTCAGTAAAGGAATAATCTTGAAGAAGATCAAGTAATGTATTTTAAAGTATAGTTAAGATGTTTGACTAAATAGATCTCTTTTATTTCATATAAAATAATATAACAAAGGAAGCGTCTGTTCTTATAGAAAATAGTGGATTATTTGTATTTATGGACGGCTTATTAATTTTTAGTGTCTTTTTTGTAATAAGATTTACGTTTTTAAATAAAAGTTAATTTTAATAAACGATAGTGAATATTGAGAAAAAATCTTCCTTATTTAGACACAAGATATCAGATATTGTTTATGAACTTCTTGGAATTTAAAAATACATTTAAATATAAACTTATATACTTCCAAAACGGAAAGTTAATTATGTTAATTTAATAATTTTATTCGTGTCTGATGGATAATTGCAAGAAATAAAGAAAAGTTTGTTAATAACTTTATAGGTGGTAGAGCCCAGCTGTAGTTTAGTTACTACAGCGCGAACATGGGCTGGTTCGACCGGGGAAGTATCACCCTCTCACAGAAGATCGGCGTTAAGTAGTCAGTAATGACTGCGTTTCGTCTGATGAGTGAGAGCGCCGGTTGCCCTTTCCCTGTTCCCAACCTTTCCTTATATTTCCTTATTACCACCCCTCTCTTTTCCTCCACAAGTAAGGTTGCCTACGCATCCGCAACATCTATGTTGTGGATGTCCATGGGCGACGGTCACTACTGACCATCAAGTGGGCCGTCTGCTCGTTTGCCACCTTTTACATAAAAAAAAAAAACAGAAACAAAACCCTCTAATTAAACATCTGATAATTATTATTAACAACTTAAATGTATTAAAAATCCTGTATAGACATGATTAAAATCATGATAAGAAGGCATATCAATATTTTTTTAAGCTTTTACAGATAACTAACTGTTCAGTTGCTTACTCTTATAAAAGAAAGATATGTTTTTAGTATACAGTTTTTGTTTTTATAAAGTTTTTAATCATCCACATCTAGTTTCGTTTACGATAGTTTTGCGTATTATGAATAATGTGGAAAATAAGAAGCGGCTCTTACATAGTTGTAATATTAAAATCATGTCTGATGGCTTTTTGCTTCTGTGTCTGTAGCAGGATTTATACATAGACTGGACTTTATATTTTTTTCTTACTTACAATTTTTTTTTTCTGTTACCAGGCGAACATACTCCCAGAGGAGACAACACCAAGCAGCGAGGAAAATCCAACAGTTCATGAGGCAAACCAAGATCAAGTATGTACATAAAAAAATTAAAATAGATTTAATAAGAATAGTATACACTTTAGTTTCTTCAGGAGTTTCTCTCTAAACGTTTTATACTAAAGAAAGTATTAATTCTCAATCATTATATATTCTTTGGATATAACAATAAAATTAATGCTATAATACAAATAAATAAGTAACATAAAATTAAAACATATTATACTTGTACTATATATAATTTCAACAAGTGAATGGTTAAAATCTAAACAAAGATTTGAAGGAAAAGACTTTATGAAATTTTGATGTTAAATTTGAAAATGACATTGAATATGTAAAATGTAGGCTTTAACAAAAGGTATCTACGGTATGGTCGCTTTATTTATATACAGGGTGACTGGTGAATTACTATCAATATTTTAGGAGAATACTCGGTACATGATTCTCATTCGAATTATTTAAAAAAAATAGGCACTTAATTTTTGACAAAATTTCCGTATAAATAAATAAAGTGTTGACACGTTCCAAGTGTTCCAAGTGTGGACGCGTGCCGCGGCGTGCTGATACAACACCACGCCCCACTCGCGTATGTGTGAGTGTGAGTGTATACCTAATCTGTAGGGTGTTCACACGATGCGTAATTAATTACATAACTTTTGGTTAACTTTACTTAGAAGTTTATTAATATTTATGTTATATTAATTTGTATTTTGTCATATATGATCGTCAAATATCACGTCCTCAAATATCGATAGTAATTCACCAGTCATCCTGTATAAATATTAAATAGAAATCTTGAATGATCAAGGGAAATATACAAATGAGGAATAAGTCTTGTGATATCTGATTTGTTGTCATTAAAAATAATTTTATGTTATGTTGGTTTAGATAGCAAAATTGTTCACAATATCTATGTTGAAAAAATTCTATCATTTAATAATAAACAACACATTTTATATTCCCTTTAAGCATCCCGTTTATTGTTTCTATTTAATGAAATCTTTGAGAACTATAAAGAAACAACAAAACTTTGTTAATACCAAATGAACATTCGTAATATAATATTCTCATTCACGCTCTTTTAACCCTAGAGTGGGCGCGTCTTTTTGCGTAACGTCAGTAGGCGCGTGGGGAGCATTTTGCCGCCTCATTTTCTTTGACTATTTTGACTAGTAATACTGCAATTTAATATTTTTTCTTTTAGGATTTAAATAAATAAACAATAAGTTATAATAAATCAACATATTTATTCAACTTTTTTTTTTTTTTTTTTTTTTAATTTATTTGGGACAACAAACATTTGTACATCTATGAAAATATATATTATACAATTTTATAACCTTAATAAATGCACAAACCACACCGTTATCCACTAATTACATAAAAAAGAAAAAGAAATAAAAGAGATATTACAATGAATAATTAAAAAAAAAATAAATAATAATAACAATATTAAATATATATACATATATATATATATATATATATATATATATATATATATATATATATAAGAAATATAAATACACATACATAATTACATACCTACTCACATAATAGATATATAATTTGAATTTATTATTACATACTGTTAACTAATATTATTGTTTGCTTTTTCAGTAATGGCTTTAATTTTTCTTTTATATGCACCTATTGTTGACCCAAAAATGTCAACATTATAAAGTTCAGCATTGTACGTTTGGGTCATTTGGTACAATGGTGCTCGCTTGCCAGCATTAGTTTGACATTTTTTCAGTTTGAATAATTTAGGTGTTCGTGTGTTACGTAATGAAACTCGATTGGGTACTAAGAAATATATGTGGCTTAATAATTGAGGACAGTTTAGATTAGAGTTGCAGATATTGTATAAGGATATTGCACTCAACAGTTTTCTTCTCGATGCGAGACTCCCCAATTTATATCTAACAAGCAACTCAGAATATGACAGATAGGAATGTGTGAATTTGTAATGTAATGAACGCAAATACCGACGTTGCACATTTTCTATCCGATCAACATATTTATTGTAAATGGGGTTCCAGATTTGTAATGCATATTCAAGTTGTGGTCTGATTAAACTGGAATACAGATATATGAGCGTAGACGGCTTTTTAAAATCCTTAGTTGATCTCATCACAAATCCGTACATTTTAAATGCGTTATTAACAATATTGTCAACATGCTTATCGAAATGAAGGTGCGAATCTATAATGATACCAAGGTCACGTACATGATTTACTCTATTTAATTGAGTCCCATTGAGACAGTATTCTTGCTTAACTATATTTTTATTTTTAGTTATTGTTATAGCGTTACATTTGGTCAAATTGAGACGTAATTTATTCAGAACACAATATTCGCTAAGCCTGTTAAGATCGCTTTGTAAATCATGGCAGTCCGACAAATCCCGCACACTTAAGTATAATTTAAGATCATCCGCGTACAACAGGAACTTGCAATGTTTGAAGCATTGGTTTATGTCATTTATAAAGATTGTAAAAAGCAATGGCCCAAGTATAGATCCCTGTGGCACGCCGGAGGATGTAATAAAAGTATCAGACTCAAAGCCTCTAACTACGACTCTCTGAGACCTGTTGATAATGTACGAAGCAAACCACCTCAATAAATTACCTCTCACGCCGTTGAAGGCCAATTTCTTTAAAAGGATTTCATGGTCCACTTTGTCAAATGCTTTGCGAAAATCCGTGTACACAGCATCTACCTGCACCCTGTTGTCCATATTCTCAAACAAGTAAGTAGCATATAACAATAAATTAGTAGTAGTAGATTTCTGTTGTACAAATCCATGCTGCTCCTGTAAGATATCATTATGCACAAGAGGGTACAATTGGGCGTGTACTAATCGTTCGAAGACTTTCGCTAGCGTGGACAAAATCGATATCGGTCGATAATTTTCAATATTGTCTCTGTCTCCACTCTTGAAAACGGGTGTTATATGCGCCATCTTCCATAAATCAGGAAAAATACCTTCTTGCATACACTTGTTATAGATAATTGTAAGTGGAATGCATAGTGTATCCGCGGTAAGCTTTATGAACAAAGGCGGTAAGGAGTCAGGTCCAGCGCCTTTATTTGAGTCTAGTGCCCTTAACACCCTGTAGACATCGTTTTCAGAAAAATATAAAGAGCATATATTGTTGTTACTAGAGTTGGTATCACCTACTGATGACTCCCATGTTTCTATATTAAGTGTAGATGGCTCATATACAGATTGAAAGAAATGCGCGAACATTTTACATATCATTTCAGGGTCGCTTGATGAATTACCCATATAGGTCATTGTTGTCGGTATTCCCGGTTTAATTTTAAGACTAGACATGTAATTCCAAAAGGATTTTATTTTTTTAATTAAACTTTGTTCCGTAAATGATATGTAATTGTCAAAGCACCTCTTACTTTCCGTATCAAATCTGCTTCGATACATGGAGAAGAGTTCATAATCAGCAGTATTTTTATACTTTTTCCACTTTACCCACGCTTTATCTTTAGCCTTAAATATCCGTCGAAGACTTGGGGTAAACCAACATGGAGAATTACTGTTTTTTATTACGCTGACCGGTGTAAACAACTTTATAATTGAGAATAGTTTTTCATAAAATATATTTATAATTTCGTTAATAGAACCAATTAAAATGTCAGACCAATTTGCTTTATTAATAGCTTCATTAATATTTATGTAGTCAGCTTTTGCAAAACACAATTTGATTCGTGGTTGTCTTGGAATAGATATAAGTGCCGTAGTTATTTTGCTGAGAATATAGAAATATGGATGGTGCTGCACCAGTGGAGACAGAGGCGATGTAGGCGTCAGACAAGTACAATTAGTGTTCGATATGAACAAATCCAAAGTACGGTTTAAATTATTTTTGTAAATGTTATGTTGAGTGGCATTCAGTAAAGAGAGGATTTGCACAAGATATTTACCAGCATATACAGTATCATTTCTTATAGAAGGTAAACAAAGACCATTATTTACTCCCCACTCAAGGCTAGGTAGATTAAAATCTCCTATTAGAAAATGCTCAGTTACATTATCACACAACACTATGTCGCAAACTAAGTCGAGATATACGACGTAAGTATTCGAACATTGATTAGGTGGTATGTATACTGCGTTCACAATGCATTTCTTACCTCGGGACGCGCTCGGTACCTCAACAGAGACGCAATCGACAATAGGAGACACGGGCCCCGGCAACGCGCGGCGCACGGGCCGCAGCTCGCGGCGCACGGCCACTAACACGCCGCCGCCCTCCTCCCTACCTGTGGCGGTACGGTCCCGGTCGCATCGAAATACAATATACCTACTGTCTATAAATTCACTATCTGAAATACTAGGAATTAACCATGTTTCGGTTAATACGATAATATCATAAGAATAAGTTAAGATATTCATATAAATGGTATTTAGTTTGGTTCTTATTCCACCACAATTTTGATAATAAAATGATAAATTACCTGTGAATTCGAATAATAATGCATATTGTGTATAAGATGTTGGTATTATATTCACATATTATGTTTAAGATATATCGTATTATGGGTGAATATATTTTAAGAACATTGTAAACATCAAAAAATAGTAGATACGTTATTTTGCAATTTAACGTGTTTGTGTAAAAAGATAACGTATCTTTGGAAGCTTGGTAAATCATTGTTATTAAACAATAATAATAGTAAAACGAAGTTATAGTATAAGAATATAACTTATTTGAATTAATCAGTAAATTGAATATGAATTTGTTATTCCCGCATCGAGAAATCAATCGTTTCATTACGTAACCACTATAGACTTTATTGTGAAGTACAAAATATAGTGTATAGTAAATATAAATATCATACTTTATATAAGTGTTATATAATAATATTATAGATAAATGATAAATTACGAATAAATATTTGATATTATGGAGTAAAACTATATGTAAATACTTATTTAATAAACACAATACCAATAAAAATGTAAGGTAATTTAAAAACATTTGCACAGAGTAATTAACAGGACAGAGCAATTCGTGTAAACATAGTGGCAAGCAATAATATTTTTTAATGAGTAGTATAACAGTAACAACTAATACGTGATGTGTTTTTTTATTTAACTTACTAGGAGGACTTAGAAGATTTAATTTTAGACAAGTCTTCATACGAACGGATAGCAATAACTCGGGATGTTTCGCACTCGCGCACAAGAATGTTACCATGCTTAATCCAAGTAAAGCGAAAATTACACCTTTTAGCAGTTTCACGAGCACTTCTAAAAAGTTGTTTGTTTCGTAATGTAAGATGTTCATTTACGTAAACTCTGCGATTTTCACCATTAATATGCAAGTCATCTGTGTATAAACCTTTCTTCATTCGAGCAGCAGACAGTATATTGTCACGCAGAATCCGGGAACATAATTTTACGACAATACTTTTAGGATGTGTGCTCTTTGTATCAGCATGAGGCACTCGGTGTACAGATACTATATCATTCGCACTTATGCTTTGCTTAATAGACGTTCCGATGTGTTCAACTATTTTTATTAGATTTTCGTTACGTCTCTCAGGTACGTTCTGAATTTCTACATTGCACTGACGTGAATGTTGCTCCATTGATTCAATTTTCGCTTCCAATTGAGTTATTGTTTTAGTGTGTTCTTCTAGACTTTTTACCTTCTTTTCTGTTTCAGCTAGACGGTTGAGACATTCCGTGGTCTTGTTGTTTAGTTCGTCAAAATAATTTGACATTTGATTCATTGTTTGCTTAACTTCGTTGAATTCCTTTACAACCTTGGATATCATATTTTCCTGTCTGGCGAACCATTTGTCCATTTTGTTAACCATTGACTCCTTGAACTCACGTAGTTCCTTTAACAATGGATTAAGACCACCTTCCGTGTCAACACGAGTTCTTCTAGTTGTTACGCAATTTACGGGTGATCCATCGGTAAGTGATGTAAAACTTATGTCTTGAGCATCGTTGGAATGTGTAGGCGAAGACATATCCGTGTATAATAAAAAGTGTTGCAATATCTCTATATCTCTGTGTAGTCACTACTCTGTATATACCGGTCGGTAAACGTAATCAACTGTAAGCACAATGCGCGCGACCGGCCGTCAAGAGTGACCGAGACGGAATGGTTCTATATGGTATAATGGTACCGGAACTTGGTTCTATAAACTTTGGTTTACAAAGGACTTTAGAAAACTTAATATTTTAAATGACTTTTTTTCTCTTAAGCTACATAATACTTTTTAATACTTAAAAAATAAAACAAAAATAACAAAATTATGTATTTTCTTAATCTACAGGATACGCTTTATCAAAACAGTCTTCACAATGACATGTACAATGTTCATTGCACAGTAACTTTTGGCATCTGGAACACCCTTTTTTCGTGCGCCTGTTTTTCCTTGAGGGACATATACTGCATATGCCCTCCTTTTTCGAAGAAGATGCTTGTTCTACTGGGACAAAGCGAGCAATTTTTCTCCTCAAAGAAATCTTTAAAGTGCCTATAGAAGTCCTTGTGGTCATATATTGCTTAACAAGTACCATGGCAATTTGTTTCAAATATTCTCGACGTGGCATCAAATATTGAGTATTGGCTTTGTATATAATTTGACTGTTTATACCGGCAATATTCAACATTAAAAAAACAATCTCATTGGCCATCTGCGAGTCATCCTCCCAACAGAATATTCTTCCTTTATGTGGTCAACCACGTCAACACCACCTTTAGTACTATTATAAAATGTTATCATTTCAGGTTTTGCACATGTTATCATTTCAGGTCAAAGTTGATAATAGCTATTTTCTTTTGCTTTTTATTTGGAACATAAGATAGTAACACTTTCCTGTCGCCAAATCCAAACATTGAAGATGGTTTCGACCGATCTTTGGTGTTCAAGATTTGGTATCCCACCAAATCTTTTGATCTTCTATTTAATCCATTTTTATTTATTATCATCAATCAATTCTTTGAAATCCTAAAACAAATATATTTTTAGTTGCAAAAGTTATTAATGCACCATAAAATATAGTCAACATTTCGAGTTTGCAAAAAATGCATTATACAATATTACTTACGTGAGTGGGCGCGCGGTGAGCGATTTGCCGCCCGGCGACACCTGATAGTAAATACCTTCTTCTCCTGCGGTCCCCCGGGCACTGATGGTGTCCAGATTTAAGGCAAACGTTGCTAATGAGATTGGGAGCAGCTACTAAGAAGCACAAGTCTAAAGGCTAGTTGTTTTAATAATTATTAACGGTTTTTTAGCACGGGCGGCAAAATGCTCATAGCGCGCCCACTCTAGGGTTAACAGAAATATACTCTATGTACGGAATGAAAACCCTTTCTATGAATGGTCTAAATTATTTACAAGACACTAATATCGCGACATCGTTATTCTGGTGAACTTAAAGCCTCTTTCAATAGATAGGGGATAAAAGACTATGAAATGTATGAGGAATATTGCTTTTGCTGTACAATACACCCCTTTTGTAAGTCAGAAGTACGAAAGCTTTACTATTGTGTGTTTGTTATTACATTTTAAGCTTGTACCGAGATCGTAATGACTACTCTGGAAAATTTGTGACTTTTTATTGATATTTATAATTTGTTTGTGCTGCTAGTACTTGGGAGGAATTCACTACCAACGTAAGTTCTTCTGTGACACACACATTCATTTATTATCAACATTGTTATTTGCGTTCGAATAATAGACTATGGTTTAACATAAAAAATATTATTACCAGTACAAATGAAGTTTTTTTTTATGTTTTCGTGTCTTGTTAATTGAAACATTATTTATTTCAGTTCATCAATAATATTTAACATTATTTAGGTAGTTATATTCTCGTTTTCACACATAAGGAGAAATAATTAAATTTTGTAAAATAAGATCGAAAATATCGGGGAAATACTTCCATAAACCCTTAAAAAGGTTATTGCTTCTATAAAGATGGGTTGGTCCTTTACATTATTTAAAAAAAATATGCTCTGAAACAACATCACGCGCGGGTTTAATGGGGAAGCGCGTCGAACCTTATGGGAAAATAAATCTCTACCCCTAACAGAAAACCCTTGCCATTTATAAGACATCTGATTAAAAATTGATCTCATTCTACAAGAAGCGCTCCCAAATAATATACATCGAGAAAATAAATAAAATTCAACGTCGTTATAAAGGTTGACTATGTTAAATCATAAATTAGATTCAGAACCCTTTTTTAATACAAATATGTTTTTAAACTGAATGAAATAAAAATTCAAGTCTCATCTAGCGTGTTCCGTGTCATCAAGACAGTGTTACCAGAAAGTTTTGATTAAAATCCATTCTTACATTCAACTTATGGTGACCCTATTGGCAGGTTGCAGAAAGAGCGAGCCGCAAACGCGAAGGCGGCCCTGCGCTCCCCGGATGCCCACCAAAGCTCGTCGCAGCCCATCACCAATACACACACGCCCAATAGGTATTGAATCATTAATATTGGAATTACAACTTTAAGTTAAATTTATTTAATGTCTTAATTACTAGCAATTATCATATTTAGAACAAAAAAAATAATGATGAATATAAATGAAATCTGTAGAAAAAAAGTCGTCGACCCATGAGGGATTAAATTTTTGGGTAGCTAAACAAATAAGTCGTGTTAACTTCAGTTATGTCGGCGATTTTTTTGTATTTTTGTTCCTTTATAGACATAAAATATATTTTCTTTTTTTTTCTTCTAGGATCATTGACTATCTAGCACCTGAATCACCGATGAACGCAGATGATGACCTTCTGATCGAGCTTCTGTTTAAAATGTGACCTGATTTCAGAACATCGACTAATTCAAGCGCTTTAGGCAATTTTCAGTTTCCCACGACATATATTCACGAGGACAGTTTGATCATCGGCTTGCATCAGAATTTACTATTGTTTACATCTCTCATAGATTAGGACTATTTGAAAATTAATTTTGTTTCTTGATTTTAAATTACCAATATCTTTTTAACATTCTCCGAAATTTTATCTTTAATATAAACCACTGCTGCCTCGATGTTCACCTTACTTATGGCGTCATAAAGTAAATAGTTCTCTTTAAAATTTTCTAGAGTTGTGACATAATCCAGGCCTTGAATTTGTGAGTAAACTTTCATTTGATACTTTTCCTGCAACATCCCTTAAGAACATCTCACACTCTTGAATGATTTCCATACTTTCTATCCATATTTAAATTAATATTTTATTTTATTATCTTTAGAAACGTCTCGTTCATGTTTTGGCCTTAATTTTGTCTTGCGTTTAACTCTTCAGGTCATAGACAGGGTTATATTTAGTATAAATTTTATCGTATTTGTATTATATTTTCATAACGTATTTTTGAGAAATTTGTTTAGGGCGTTTATTGGAATCATATTTTTGAAAAGTCTAAATTGATTGTAATGTAATTTTCTGAGATCATCTGTAATATTTGCGACCTTCTCGAAACCCATCGACGGCACAATATTAAATTATGAACATTAAATCTGATGAAACCGTAACTTATTGTTTTTCCCCGCTTTCAAATGCAAGGTTTTGATCGAGTCAAATATTCCTAGCTTTCACGGTGGATTTATGTAAGTAGGATTAAGTACAAATTCAAATTATTAAAATGCCACTGTTCTATTAATGTAGTTGCACCTAGCGTATAATACAATAAACCCGACGAGCTGTGAGTATTTTGAGATTTTATCGTATTTAAGAAAAAAATACTTAGTTTTACTATTGGTCTAAAATTTACCATGTAGGTTTCATTCCAGCCTAAATAGATTTATTCTGTTTTTGTTATCGCAATGAAACTTAGGTTCCTATGCCCAATGATAGATTGACAGATAGTTGATATATTCTGTAGTTCTAAATCTTGTTGGATGGTATAGGAACTCCTTTGTTAAAGAAAAATAAAAAAGATCAACTCTCCCTTTAGATTCATGATCAGTAAGTTCTGATTTATTTCATTATTTAAATCTTCAATATTGTTGACTTCGTTACGATATTAAACTTCGTTAATATTTTTGAATCCCCCATCCCTAGTTCCTACTTCAATAACTATTTAAATATTTAATGAATTATTATCAATACAATTTATAATTAGTTTACTAGATAGAAAACTTTTGTTTTAGATCCTCGATAATGCTAAATGCCATATTAGTCTAGCATACATGAAAAAATAAGGTTGTGCACCACTTAATATAGAAATAACTACCTAAATATTCCCTTTTTTCTGAATTCTCTGATATTTTAACGTAGATTTATAGATAATAGTTTAAGATAGAGGTAATCATAGCTTAACATTAAGACGACGTGCTGCCGTCGTGATATTTTTGATTCGTATTTTTATAAAGCAAAAGTTACGAATGACTAAGATTGCTTTGCTTGTGCAGGGCCGTGAAATGATTCTCTTCTTCATTTATTAATCACCTTCTTAAATTTGGGTTCGTAATAAATTTTCCTTCAACAAACAATAGGCTTGATTTTACTTCGTTTTGTTTTCATAACTATTATTCAAATACGTTGAATCTTAATGTAAATTCTTGCAAACTGAACTATATTTTCTTTGAAAGGATTTGAAAGGCCCGGAGATGTCATACGAAGAGGGCGTTAGTGTATTATTAAATTTTCGGGGTTCTGAAGCGTCAGATTGGGATATACATATGTTTTTTATTTGAGATATTTCATTATCAATTGTGAGACGTTTGAAAGTTAGTAATATACTAGCAGCTGTGAGAGGTAACTGATGTGAAAACGCGACGCAGTTCGAGAAAAACCGTCCAGTTGTGGCGGCTTTTGCACCCTCAGGTGGCGTGAAGGCAAAAGTCGCATCAAGCGATAACAACTTCAACATCCCCTAATATAGGGACGCGATTCGCTTGAAGGCACGGGGCACCCGAGGGCGCACGAATGCAACATGTACATTTTATATTTTTGGATTGCTAACTTTAAGATGTTATATTTATATATGTATACGTAGTGGCGGATACGAAACCAGTATTTCGAAATGTATTGCGCCAAAAGTTTTGATGTATTAATTTTCCAATAAAATTCTCTCGTTTTCGTTGTCAAATGAATAGTTCGTTTAGCTAGTGGTCATGTATATATTTTTGGATAATGTGCACGATTGCTTTCGAAAGCCAGACGATATATATATAAGGGAAGGCCGTCAAGTATATTGTTGGAGAATATTTTTAATGGTGACGCAGAACCTGAACGCTGAAAGCAATAATATTTTTGTGGTACAAAATTACTCCGATTTTTAGAAAAAGAGTATTTTATTAACCACGCGGTCGTCATGAAAACCGGTCGAATCATAGAATGCTTTTAGTGCCGCCGTAGATTGTGCTCCGATATCAACAAAAAATCTAAAAACAGCGTCCTAAGATTGTATTCTTTAAGGGGATTTCATTACATTTTATCTGCCATTCGATTGCCGCTCCCTAGAACTCGCTACCCATTGTTTTGAACAGCGAGAAACTGTTTAAGGTGGATCATATACGAGAATATTTTAATTAGTTAGCAGATTTAAATAGATATTATTTTCTTAGTGCCATACAAACTAATTTTAGAGAGGTTTACATAAGCAGATTCGGAAATAATTAGCGATTTTAGTGTTTTGTAATAAAACGTGTGAATTTAAAAAAAACAATCGGAGCACATGTTTATGGCTAGCGTTAGATTGACCACGGCTAAAAAAATAGTGCACTAGATGTAGGTATAGTTAGAGAAATTACTACGTATATATAAACGAAATGAAAAAAAAAAGAAATCTTGAAATCTATACATAGAATTATAATATTAAATAAATTTAAACTAATACTTTTATTATAACAAGCTTGTTCACATTATAAAAAAAACGTATTTAGATATATATAGATGTAATGTTTTGGAATGGGACAAAAGGATATGGAATGAGATTATTAGTGAGAGTAGGGGGGCGTTATTAGTTTTTTGGGACTACTTTTTTACAGAATTTAATATCAGTGTTTACATAAAATATATTGTATAAGTATTAGTCGTATTATTTCGTAGCTAAGACATCGATTATGTATTGCCAATTTTGTATATTTTTTAAATTTCTGTAATATCTATTAATGAATAAGATTCTTTTGAAATTAATTGAAAATATGTGGCTGTGGTGGGTTTTACTTCTAATCGGTGAACGAATTTATTACTAAATTGTTTTCTGTTTATGTTAAATTATTGTTTGTGATATCCAAAGATTTTGTTAACCATTTCTGGTTTGATGTTTGTGTGTAATATAATCCAGTTGATTCGTATGTAAATGTGTAATTGAAATTTATTTTATGTAAACACACCGATCTTATTTAGTTAATGTGTTGTTTAAGCTGCGCCAGAGGCGATTTACTTTGACATTGTGATATGGCTTAAATGGATTTTGTGTTAACAAATATTGTTTATAGAATAGAAGCTGCGTAGCTCCATTAATTTGACGAGTTTTTCAAATAGTTACTTTAAGATTTCTTATGAAGTTTGATCTCAATATGTGTAGTTTTTTTTTGATTAAACAAAATACAAGCTTAAGTTTTGCTTTAAGCCTAAATATAATATTGCATATCAATTAGATATTATATAACTTGTGTTATCTCTTTGTTGTGTTATATATGAATTTTGCAGCCAATAATTGTGTTAATTTTAAACCGTACTTATTTAATATTATTTTTCTTCATTGTATGTATTTTAATGCTGTACCTATTTTCGTAGTAATACAAATACTGTTGCTTGAGATTTTTATATAGTAGCGTAAACATATTTGATAGCAAATTTTTAATAAAGTTATTTTTTTATTATATAAAAATACTTATCTTTATTTGTATGCGAAATGTAATCGTTAATTAGTTTCTCTTCATTATAGAGAGTGTAAAAAGTTGTTATGTACTGCCAGTTTGAGGTTCTAACACCAAATAATGAGAGTCGTGTGTAAGTGTGGGAGTCACTCCCGCTTGTATATAAATGTCCGTTTCGATAAATTTTCCTTATTATGTTTAATTCCTTATTATTTGAAATTATAAATACGGCTTTATTTTATGGTATTTGAGATTTATGCGTCAATATTAATTTCAACCAATCAGGTTAGTTTAAAGTCGGTTACAAAAACCGTGTTACGGCATCCTGATTGGTCGTTTAAGATACTAGTCTGTTTTTTTTAATCAATGAAATTTAATATTACGAATTAGTATGTAATAAAATGATTTAAGTTCTTTATAAGTGCTTATTATTGAAGTTATTTTTATTTATTAGTTATATTTATTTAAAATTTATTGTTTCATCGAAATCATTATTGAAGTAGTAATTACAGATTTGTTACTTTTTAATTAGTTTTATTGACGAAAGTTTTCTTGCTTATATAGTTAACTGTAAAAGTATTAATGATATTTTTCTTCGCGTTTATTAAAAAAAAATGTAATCAAATAAAAAAAGACAGTTTTTGTTTTCGGGCTCGGTGACGAAATGATCATATTCGCTGTATTTTTCATTCAAATATTTAAATTCGCTTCACTATATTATCTTGTAATTATTTTTATATATAAATATGTATATAATATAAAATTTTCAAATATTAGTTTTAGCACAAATCTAACAGCAATCTATATTTGTCTGTGATTTTAAATTATCGCGTGTATGATCATTGCGTAGTTGGCTATGGAATAATAGATCGTATTATGATACGATGACGGTTGAAAATCATGTGAGAAACGGTGTTACATCAAATAATATCTAGATGTATTAAAACAAAATAATCTTCCTTTGTAATTATTATAATCTATAAACACTACAGAATTGTGATTCAAAGCAATTTAAAATATTACTGCTGATTATTTTTCGTGTTTTCATTTATATACCTTTACCCTATATAAAATAATTTAGATATATATTGAATAAAAAGAAAAGTTATATATAAAAATAAACTATTTACCTCAGTAGAATAGAAGACATAAAATTTAGTAAATAAATATTTCTAATACAAATATAAATATTTTTATATACTCATACCAATAAAACAAAAGTTAATATATGATGCCGTATTTTTAATTTAAGAGACTATACTCCAGCCACATTCGATCTGGAATTTTAGTAAACAAACCATGAGTCATCATAATTAGGGTTGATACACTCTTAATAAAAAATATTTATTATTATAATTACAAATATATTTATTATAATACAATTTCTTGTTTAATCATAAAAAAATAATTTAATATAGAATCCAAAAATTTTATTTAGCCGGTCAATACATAATTTATATCAAAATTAGCTTAAAATAAAAGTTTAAAAATCTTTAATTACCACTATAATATAACTACAAAACTAGCAACTCTATATTTGAATACTGACGTAAAGAAATCGCAAGTTTGTAACATTTGGGGTGTTTTTTAAGCAATTGGCAAATATACACAAAATTTAATCTAAATGAGTCGTTATGTACAGCTAATATTAAGATACTTAAGATTTTACTCAGCTATTACAAATAAAGCATCAATAAATTGACTACGCTATAAACTAGCCATCAGCCTGTCATAGCCCACTGCTAAGCAAAGGCCTCTTCTCACATGGAGAGGATTTGAGCATTAATCACCACACTTGCTCAAGACGGGTTGGTGATATCAAACGTATAATTGTACGATTATAAGTTCACGTTTCCTCACAATGTTTTATTTCACCGTCTTTCAGTAGTGTCTAAATACTCTCAGAAAGTACATATGACTCGGAAAAATCACATTGCTACTTGCAATGACCGAACCCGCGCCCTCTTGCACGAGAGGCAAGCAATTTAACCACTAGGCCACGACGGACTATAAAAATAAATATATAAATTTCTTCTTCTACCTGGCTTTTAGCCAAGGTCTGCCTTACATGTTGTGAATAGTTTTGGCTAATTGTTTTTACGACCGGCCGCCTGCCTGACATCACCCCTCTTTGGGAATGCATTAATTAGTGATGTCTAAATACTCTTTAGAAAGTACATATGACTCGGAAAAATCACATGGGTACTTGGCAGGGCCAGGATCGAACCCGCACCCTGATGCACGAGAGGCAGGCCCTTTAACAACTAGGCAACCACGGACTATGAAAATAAACTATTATAACGAAATTACAAAGCAATAGCTCGGTAACGTTTAGAATTTAATGTAACTAATAATTCGATTATATTTTACGTTAACCGTCAATTATGCAAATGTTTGTAGTGGCCAACAGAATACAAATTATAAGACATTGTTCCTATAATGAATTAAACTTTATTTATAACTTATACAATAATTAATTTTGGTCACAGTACATTAAATATGAATCGTTTGAAATAAAAAGCTCTTGAATCTCAGGTATGTGTTTTCCTGATCGGTGGTAGAGGTGGTACGACTGGCGATATCTTGTATGGTGGTTGCACAAACGTGAAATGATTGGTTATATGTGATGCATTGGTAAAATTTGATTGTGGGAACGTGAGGTCAGCGATTCGTGTGACCAGAGGAGGCTGTTCAGGTTTAGATACAGGGTGTCCGAAATATTTAGCATGATCGTCTATCCATTGTTGGACCTGAAAAAAATAAATATTTTATTAAATAATATATAATACAGCCGTTTTCACGATCTATTTCGCAAGGAGCAGTATTTTTGTATTAAATAAATACCTTTAAAGTGGGAATAAACAGGAATAATTTGTATATAAACTTTTTTTTGTCACATACAATATTAATGCATATAAAGAAGAAAAATTATATGTATGTAACTATAAAATATATAAGGAAGATATTTAAATATATGCATTACAATATATAAAAATATACTTACATAGTGACATTTGCAAGGAGTTGCACATTCTTGAGAAGACATTATGACTTTTTTATTACTTAAATTCTTTGAACTATTATCAATCGAAAACAGTTTTAGTACGTATTTTTTTATAACTTTCTTCATGTACGTCTGTACACCTCTCCTTTCAGGTTGTGTTTAAAAATATTTTTACAAATCATTTATATATAAAAGTAGATAAAATCATTAACTAATTAACTAACCCTAGTTATTGGTGTCGTCAAATTTAACTTTGGTTTTTACAACTAATGAGGTTGTTAAGTAATTATTTAAGTAGGTTTAGTATTTTTAATAATTATTTCTATATAAATAAATCATTATAATCTGAATAAAAATAAATAGATTAATATTAACGAGTTTGTTTTTATTGGAAGTATTTCTTGGTAAATAGCTTTGAGGTTCAAAATTACAAAAAGGAGAATTATTTTTTTCATATTTTTATAACCATGAAGATTTTTTTTAATATATTTTTAAATTAATGTTTCTAAAGACATGCGTAAATTGCTTTTAATTATATTTTTGTTTATACTGATTTATTCTTTGTTAAATTCGCTTATAATTTTAATTATTTTAATATATACCTACGTATATATTTTCAGGTATATTAGTAATAATATATAAGCCCTGTTCCATTGTATTAAAAACTTTCTATATGAAATTATTTTGTAGGTCACTTAAGTGCCTTTTGGGGTTTCACGTCACAACTTTTATCAATGATTTGGGAATATTTTGAGGACATGTTTTGCTTTTACGGCGTGCCAAGTAATTGCTTTTAAAATTACGGACAAAGTTTTGTTAAGCCTAATGAAAAATTATGTAAATCGCGTTATAAATAATTATTTTTATTATCACCTTGATTTATTGCTATGTTAAAAGGATCATAGGTACTATCTCAATCTTTGTTTTAATTAAAAACATAATTATATGACGTCATAAGTCTATTTTAATCAATATTTCAATATCAGCATCCGAACAATCTAAGAAGTATTTTGAAATGTTTGAAAATTTAAGTCCACCTTTCAATTGAACTGAGAATTGTGTAACAAACGATAGAATAAATGGAAATAAAAATAATTCTTACCTTTCAACTTAGGAAACCATAAAAATAAAACCGGTAAGTTCTATACAAGCAAAAATATTTTATCGAAGAAAAGGTTCACTGAGAGTATTATTTTTCGGTAATGTTAGGTAAGGTATTGTACCCATATGTGATATATCATTTGATTTAAGTTAAAAGAAAATAACATTCGTATGTGTATTAGTAATATATTAATATTTACCCATACTAAGTACAGGAAATATTTCTCGCTATACTTAATAGTATCGAACAACTGTTTATTTGGGGTGAAAAGCATTTTGATGACGTAACATACGTGACTTCCACCCAGGGTATAATGATTTGTGACCCGTTCATGTAATAATTCATTTACAACATACATACAAGACATTTTCGAAGTTTTTTTTCTTTACTCCTATACCTTGTACCATTCCTGTAAGCTATCAACACAAACCTTTTCAACGATGTCGTCTATTAAAATCCTAACTTTATGCATATGGGGTCCGAATCTGATAGCATCTAACATTTAAATATAAAAGAGTTTCAACATTATATAAAAGATATCGGAAATATCTTAAAAGGTGCCATATTGTTACTCTCGAGTTAGAAAAATACGAATAAAATTTTCGTATTTTTATTCGTTCATTTACTATTAACGGAAAGAACACAGAATATAAATTTATATGTAGCAAAGAATAATTTAATAACGTCTATTTGAAATCAAAGCCCTACATCAAAAATAAAGCCCTCAACAGAATGTCAATTAAATTCGTTAAATGAACAAAGAAATAATGAAAGTGAAAGAACGTTCGGGATATTATGTAAGCTTTACTTACTCAAATATATGAATTCTCATGTTACAGGGACATTGTCTTTTGTCTTATTTTCATTAAATATCACTTAACAATATATTCCATGTCATTATTTTTAAGAACCAAAATTATAAGACAAAACCAAAGAGTTTGTTTATTAATTTATAAATTTTAATCTGTGATCAAGACATGACATTTATGTATTTTTATCTGTGATATCAAACAATATGGTCATTAAAACATATCTTCGCAGATATTTCTAAAGTCTCCGCAGTTTCATTTTAAACCTCGGTCTGGTCTTCGGTTGCCATGACAACCGCACGTACTTCAGATTGGTGTAATAGTATTTGATACTAAATATGTCCTTTTTAAAAAATGCAAGTTCATCAATCTATCTCTAACATCAGTGAGTCAAAAAGGAGGTTTTATAGTCATTCTATCATTCGTTTAATATACTCCAAAGAGTTTATATATTAATTCAATAAATATAACATTGTATAACCTCCTTTGATTCAAGCCGCTTTTCTTAACTTACTTTCTCTTACTTATGCCATACAACAATAAAGTCATATCTCAGAAACTACACTTATATTGGAAATAACTTTATCTTTTTTTAAATAATCTGAATGTGATACATACGTTTTTTATTAATGTTGAATTTTAAAGAAATATTTTAAATAACTAACAATATAATGACGTTTTAAAGTTACATCATGAAAGAGAAAATCTACAACTAACCCCGCCAAAACCATTTTGAAATTGGAACTAGTGCTCCTCCTAAGCGGATTTTTCTGCGAGCTACCATTATTTTGGTTACCATCAAAACGACTTTATATTGTACATATTAAAGTCGAAACTGGAGTGGTAGGATGTAGTTTTTAAATTTGCGTTAACCAACAAAGCCTATAAGAACAGAGATTTTAAATAAGGATGGCAGCTTATCCGTTTGGGCAGTATAGTGTGCACCTGTGCAGCTTCGCTTTTAAAAAGTCGATTCGATCAGATTGATTTGAAGGGCGGAGATAAGGAAAATTGCTTTCGGCTTAGTCTAAACGAATATGTATCAAAAAAAGTAAAACATATTTTTTCTTAAATTAATTAAATACTGTCTGAAAATAATTATATTATGTTTAATCCTAGTTTAAATAGACAAGTAAACGTCATATCAATATTGTTAATTTTAGGTGTATTATATAAATTAAAGACTTTGAAGCATCAGTTTATGAAAAAGTTATACAAAAATCATTTAAAGTAATACAAATATATGTATGTTATAAATCTATAATATTATTTCAGAACTTATTGACTTTCAATAATACATCTATAGCATTTCACATGTAAAATAAAACTTAACATAAACGAAATAAGGTACATAATATCAAAGCTTTCGGCTGTCACAGCAATATTCAGAGTTGTATAAAGTTTGTAATCTAACTGTATTTGTGATGTTTCTTCTAACGTAAGGCCTCTCACGCTCAATTTGCTATGTACATCGTTCAAGTTAGCGTTGTAGTTTGGAAGATAGATTTTTATGTTATACTTTAAGGCTGTTATGGATTGTGTTGGGATATAGCCGATGAGAAGTTAAGTTGGACTTATTTAACTGAATAACTATAACTTATGTTCTATTTTAATTTCTAGACAGTCTTTATTTGATGTATTTTAATTATGATACGTGATTTGTAAATTTAAGAGACACGTGTACGTTCATATATTTTTTTACACTATTCTTTACCAGTGGCGTGCACACTATTCAAATAAGCACTGCATACTATACCCATATAACAACTAAACCAATATTATTTAATTCTTACTTACATACTTTTAACTATACGTTACGAAATACAAATTTTTAGTCATTTAATAGGACTTTTGATTCACGATTTGCTAATAAGTGCCATCTATCAATGTTAATACGAAACATTTTCGATTGGCGGCTGCTAACTGCTAGCGCCACTATGCAGCCAGAGCGGCGCGGCGGTATGCACAACCACTCTCTGCTTATTTTAAATACAAAAATTCTCAAGAACGATCTACAAATCTCGTGTATGTATGCAGGAAATGTTTGTATGTGTGTTTGTAAAACTAACACATGCATAGTGTTCGAGAAGCATTGATTATTTCCAATTGCTTAAAATGTCCTAGGAAGTTAATTGTCAAAATGGTCAGTAAACTGTTCATATATTTTTTTCGCCATTTTATTATTATTGAATATCGTCTTTTTTCTTTCTAAGTGCTAGTGAATAACTTTGTTAGCAGGTGGTGTTTACACAAATAAGTTATTTTGTTTGCCTTGTTTGTTGTTTTCAAATGACAGTAAGAATGTTTGAATCTCCACTGGATATTAAAATAACTTTTATAAAGATGAAATCAATAGATCGTAATTGTTTTAAAGTACTTTCTTGGCTCAGAGGTAGTTGAGAGATTTATAAAGTATGTATATGTTCGTTCTGATCGGACTGCTGTAACATTATGCGCGAATATTAACAATATTTAAATGAAATTAATATTTACTGATTTCTTCGCGTATTTTATTATGTTTAAAAACTACATACTCCCGACGTTTCAATTACTTTGCAGCAACCGTTATTACGGCAGACATCTCGTCTGGCCGTTAAAATCATAAAAATATTAGTTTCATTTAAAATTTAAATCAGTACTTACGAAAGATATCATTACTATCAATGTTTTAGAGGAGGAAATGATGCAAATTGGTTTTTTATTTTTCAAACATATTCTGTTTACCCTACCCCAAATCTCTGTGCACGCCACTGTCCTATAATTTAATGATATCTAAGATTTTTGCGTGTAAACATTTAAATTAAACTAAGTTTTTCGGATACTGTGGGTTTTTTATGATTTTATATCTACATAAGTAAAGTAACTTATCTCTTCTGCCCGTGATCACGTTTGCTGTAAAGAAACCGAAACGTCGGAATCGTGTAGATATAAAATAATGAAAAAGCGTAGTATTAGAAAAACTAAGTTTTTTTAATATATTCTATAGTATGCTGACGTGTATGTGGTTAACATATTATTCTGATCCACTGAAGGCTATGTTACATTACTATCCAATACATTTGATGTCCGTTCATGCTCACGGATAAACAAAGAAATTAGAGGAACGGCCAAAAACCCCGCAGTATATGTTA